GTAGGTGTATGGTATATACTTAGGGCCCAAAGGGATTCCCACATACCTAATTGAAGGCCCAAGTATATACCATATATCTACATGGACCCTTTGGGTTAGGGTTGCAGGGTAGGAGCCTATAATACGTAGATGGTTTCGTTCACATGGCACGGGGTCTACTTCCCTACCCATGTCATGTCCGCCCTCGACCTAAAATAATTAGTCCGTTAAGTTGATGTGTAAGAATGGTGTTTCCCTAAAGGGTCCAAGTACCTAAAGATAATAAAATTACAAAAACCTGTACTATAGTTATTATTACCCAACACCCAAGTACCTAATTATTGGGTACTGGGATTATTTGGGTTACATTGTAGCATTTACTACGGGGGGTGGAGGGGTGTGCATAGAGGGAGGTAATCGACAGGTGGTGAAAGATCTCCTCCCTTCACACAGAAGATCACAGAAGGATCCTCGAAATACACGTAAGGGGTTTGAACCATTATTTTGCCTACCCTAAACCCTAAACCCTAAACCCTAAACCCTAAGGTAGGGTCTATAGGGTTGAGGGCTTGCTGCTTTGGGTATCATGAAGAAAGCCGGGATCCTCACTCGTGATTCTCCAAAGAATATAATGGAAAAGAACATGGAAACTACCAGAATGGGGTATATTAGGGTAATATTGGGGTTATATAGGGATAATGGAAAAGAAAATGGAAACTGCTGTAGTGTAACAGGGTTCAGGGTTTAGGGTACTACAGGGTATGAGAAACTCCCATATGTTTGTTGTGATTCTGCTGCGACTGGCTCTAAACTACCCTACACCCTAAACCCTAGATCAGGTTACGTACATCAGTGAGAAGGCCATAAGCAGCAAGTCCAGCATGCAAGCCATGTTCATGGAGTCCAGAATGCCAAGAATGGCCATATAGAACCGAAGACCCCGTGAACCATGAGCCTGCCACCTTGCACCCATAGACTAGATTACCCTAGGGGTCCAAGTACCCAATAATTAGGTACTGGGGTGTAGGATAATAGTGATCATAGTACGGGTTTTGGGTAAGTAAATGATTATTGAATGCCTGGACTGTTAGGGACTTGGGTCTATGGATTTATCTTTGAAGCAGGGGCGGTCTTTGATATTAGGACATATAGGGAGAAAATAGCGTCTAGGGTTTAGAGCCTGGATTCACATGTCTTCGTGTAAATCGGACAGAGATTTCCACTTTGAACGAAAGTGAATGAGGAGTCGAGGCACCCTGAGTGACCCTCCACGATACGTAGTGGGAGACAGCGTGGGTCACAGGGTCACACTGAAGGACTCTATGGCCATTGGCCTTAGAAACTCCGAAGCAGAGTAAAAGAGTTCCAGACACGAGAGCCACGAGAGTTTGTATCTAAGGTCCACTGGTACAAAAACACCTTAGATACACTAGGAAATGGCGTTTTCCTATGGTTTCAGTGAGTGCATATATAGGTTTCCGGAGGAGGATTTGTTGACCAGAAATAGAAGTCCTATAGGGTTGAGGGTTTAGGGTTTTGTATCCCTTGCATTCCTAGAAGAGCAGCTACCAGAGAGCGTTCAGATGACAGCATCCTGGAACTGTAAACGTTAATCCCCAAATGAGTAGTACCTTAGTCGGGGATACTATGGTACCCCATATAGAGCAAGCTTCTATCCTTCTTTAGGGGTGTAGTAAATATAGAAGGAATATTATCTTTCTGGGCCAGAAAACACTATTCGAATGGTGCTTGGGCCCTTACCTGGACCCGTGTACCATGTCCCCATGTTTGGGATACCTGACTTTATGTCGAATATCTTCTTCTTATACCAAAGTATAGGTAAACAAAAGGACGCAGCCGTATATAGGATTTTAGGCACGGCACCATAGACCTCAGGTTGCTAAAACAAGAAAGGCGCTGCAAACTTGAAGATTAATTGGTAGCTCATTGGGTTCAAGCTCTGAGCAGGATGTGTCTGCTAATGACGTAAAGTTAATTCGTGTTCAATCGGGGCTATATCCTTTGCTGAACTTGGAGTTACCGCCATAAAGCAATTCCGTGGCATTCATCTACTGCTTGTCTACGTCCCAAGTTTCTTTTTTTCAAATAGGCCATTGTCTAAAGTCCCTAAAGGGGCTTATATAGGGATTATACTGGAGACTTCTATAAATAGGGGTTATTAAGGGGGATGCTAGGAGTTTAGACTATGGCTCGAATCGGCTAGGGTTTTGCGAAGCTTGAGTTGTTGGACGTTTCTGGCTCTGGGGAACCCTGGGGCTCTAAGTCTATAAATAATACCTACATTGGGCCCCAAACCCTATAAATAGTACCTACATGGAGCCTTAGGGGAAGGAATGTCCTAAAACCTGCGGCGTGCCTTCAAGCCGCCTTGAGCTGGGCTCACAGACCCTTCGGCCATATCTGGTATAGAATCTGGTTTAGGGTCTAGGGTTTAGGGTTTCGGGTAGAAGGCAAGTTTGATCGGTGTCTGAGGATCCAAAAATACATCCCCGGGAGGGAGATTTTCACATACAGAGGATTTCCTCGTAGCCTACAGTACCGAGGCGGAGAAGCGGAGAGGGCAACAGTGCCATTTTATGTGGCCAGTTGGCCGGAGTAGGTAACTTCCAGGAATGAAGTGATATCATTATAAAGTTCCCGGCGGAGAGCCTGTGCTAGAAGTCTAGGGGGAGAAGGCTTGGCATAGGCTTAGACTTGTCAACTCAAGTCCGTGTGGCGAACTTTTGTCCTGCCGCTGTACACAATATGAGACACTCAGGCAATCACTTTGCGAGGGCACGCCCCATGTTTGTACTTAGGATCCTGCTTAGGGGGTTCTTCCTACTAATGCTTGATTTTGATCTGTGAGCCTAGTATTTAGTTTCTCGTCTTGTACAGCTGCTCTGCTCGTGCAGGCAACGCGGGTTCTGCATGGCCCTTAAGAACATTCTGCCAGCATCATGCTTGGTTTACCCACTTCTGCAAGAGATCTGCAATTTGCCATAGAGAGCCTTGCCCATAGCATTAATTGATTTTCCTGGGTTCCTACACCAACCAGTCTTCATGACAACCTGGGAAGCTGCTATTCAGGTAGCGAGGGTTCAGGGTTTAGGGTTTAG